TCTTGGCTCCTGTACTTATTAGCTCTGTGACCTTGAGCAAATCACTTCATCTCTCTGAACCTTGAATTTTCTTCTGGAGAGAAAGAAAGAACAATAATCAACTCCTCCGAAGGCTGTTCTGAGAGCTGGGGAGACCGTGTTTTAATTCCTCAATGAAGAGTTGCCATATTAACAACTCTATGGCAAGTGAAATGCAAATATGCTCATTCTCCCCTCCAGGGACAAGAGCGGGGAGGCGGGGACTTCTTTATTCCCTTCTTCCAGGGGGTCAGTCCTTGCTTCTGCTGCCTGAGCCGGTGCCTCCTTTGCTGTCCCCTTACTCAAATGTGTTCATTGACCCTTCGCAGCAGAAGGGTGTGGTCGAGACTGAGTTACAATCCCTTCTGGGAGTGAGGGGCACTAGAGGCCACGGTCAGGCTCTGGGTTAAGTGCCCTGCCTCCATCATCTTGTTCAGTCCTCTCAACGGATGGGGAAATAGAGAGTAACTCGCTCAAGGTCACATCCATTAGTTTCCCTCTAACCCAGGTGGTCTAGCTCTGAGCTCCTTTACCCAACAAGCTGTGTTTGTGGGGAAATGTTCAAATACCAAGAGGGAACTAAGTGAACCCCAGCTAGAGCTGCGGTTCTCTCAGGCCCCAGCCTGTGTCCTCTTGGGCCCAGCAGGGCCCAGCCTCCCAGACCTGGCTGTGATAACAACGTCTGGGTCTTAATTCCCTCCTGGTCCAGGAACGTGAGCTGGCTCTAGCTGGATCTGCTGGTTCCCACGGCCAGGCCATGCCCTTAGCAAACGAGCACGGGCTCCAGCGTGTGGGTGGCCCATGGAGGGGGCTTGAGGATCAGCAGGTTGGGAGGGCCCCTCCTTGATCCTGCCCTTGAAGGTCAGAGCCCCTTCTGTGTGGAGAAGGGAGGAAATCTTAGCGTCGCTCCCTTTGGAGGGTCCCTGAGCTTGTCCCAAGCCCTCAGCTGCCCGCTCAGGCTGAGCCCCTGTTCCCTCACCGATCCCATCCCCCTCCCTGAACCCCGACCCCACTGGGAGCCTCCATTTTTGGCAGCATCTATTTCAGCACCCCCAATCCCTGAGACCCCTCCTTACTAAAGTGTAAAGTGGCCTAGACCCTGCCGCGGCCCTCAGCCGGCCCTCCCACTTCTCTCTTTGCCAGAGGCGGCCTTACTGTGAAGTTAATGAAACTTCTGCTCAGGCATCTAACTCGCACAGGCCCCCGTGAGGGCTGGGGGTTGCTGGGAGTTATGGAGTGTTCTGGGATGGGGGTTGGGGGGACAGCCAGGTTACCCTTAGGAACCATTTTCCACTAAGTGTTCCTGGCATACTACCCAGAGACATGTCAGAAGAATGGGCCCAAACCTCCAGCGCTCCAGCAATCTGTTCTTTTCTTCCTCATTCTCAAATTCATTTTCATATGAACTTTGCGGGTTTTTCTTTTTCCCCTAAAGGGGGCCCTTAAAATTGAACTGGCCTTGCTTCTGATCTGTTCTTGACCTCTTGCCCCATCCGCTAGCCCTTCTGTGGCTCCCCCCGGTCTGGGGAACGGGGTGTGCCAAACCTCTTCCATGGCCCTACCCACCTCCGTGACAGCATCCTCTGCCACTGTGACCCTCAACCCTTTGCTCCAGCCCTGTGTGCCCTCCCTTAGTCCCTCAGGCCACTCAGGACCCTTAAGACCTACCTGGGCTTCGTGGCCATCTCCTTGGTCTGAGAATTCCCACTCCACCTTCAGGATTCGGTCTCAATAGCTGTTTCCCAGCGAGGCCTCCCTGAACCCCAGACCATGTCACACACCTGGACCTTCCATCAACACTGACCACACCTGTGTGCGATAACTCCACTCTGCCCCCAGAGATGCCCCATCTCAATCATCTGGTTGAAAATCAAAGGGCCCCGTGGATTCCTCTTTCTCTCAAGCCCACATCTAATTGATCAGAAAATCCTATCAACTCTTCAAGATAAGTCCAGATTCCAACCACTTCTGGCCACCTGGGTTATTCCGAATGTTTTCAAGCTGGTTTGCTGTTTCTACATTTGTCTATTCTAAAAACGGCAAGGAAAGGAATCCTGTAAACATATAAGTCAGATTATGTCACCTCCTTGTGCAAAGCCTTCGCTGATTGCCTACTAGAGAGGAATAAAATCCTAACCCTCACCGTGGCCCTGACCGCTGGGGCCACTGCCCACTCCCATGACCTCACCCCTGACATGCCATCCTCTGTGATGCTCCAGCCATGCTGTTTCTAACATCCCCAGCTTATTCCCACCTCAGGGCCTTCGCCTGTGCTGATGTTCTTCCCTTGGCTCTTTGGCTGGCTCCCTCAGTCCATCCAGGTCTCCTCAAAGAAGCTATATGTGGAGGGCAGATTCTAAGATGCTCCCCAACGACCCCCACCTCTGCCACACCCAGTGACTTGCTTCTAACCGATAGAATACAGCAAAAACAGTAGGACGTTGCTTTTCACGTGGGGTTACAAAAAAGACTGTGACGTCTGTCCTTCTCGTCTTCCCTCCCTACTTCACTTGCTTGCTCGGAGGGAGGCCAGTGGCCCTGTTGCGAGGCCATCCTACAGAGGGGCTCATGTGGCAAGGAACTGAGGGAGACCCCGGCCAACAGCCAGAGAGGAACTGAGGCCCTTGGTCCAACAGCCCACGAGAAACTGAGTCCTGCCAGCAACCACGTGAGTGAGTTGGGAAGTGGATCCTTCCCTAGTTGAGCCTTAGGGCCGACACTTTGACTGTGGCTGTGAGAGACCCTGAGCCGGAAGACGGAGCCAAGCGGCACCCAGGCCCCCAGCCTCTACGAAAAGCGAGACCATAAAAGTCTTTTGTTTTAAGCAGCTGATTTTGGTGGTCATTCGTTACGTAACTGTAGATGACAAATACATCCTTCCTACTCTGTGGCCCCTTGTCACTCTATCCCCCTACCCAGTGTTAAGCAGTTACTTGTGAATGAATGAACAGGGAAAGGAAAGCAGGACACCCAAAGGGACGTGCCACAGCTCAGGAAAGCAACGAGCGGGGGCGGGGGGCCTCAGGTGGGAGGCGGCTGGCTCACACCCCCCTCCCAGCTGCCCCAGAGGTTACCACCCCCTCTTAGCAGGGCCTGGAGGCTCTGTTCTCCCATCTCCTCAGAAGGGTGCTGCTCAGGGCCCAGGCACCGGGCCCTTGTGGTCTCTGTGGGAACAAGTTCCAGCATCATGTCCCTGTTCCAGACCAGACATTTTGGATTTTCTCTGCCATCCAGACTTCAGGATTATTTATTTCTCTTTGTTTGTTATGGAGCTTTGCTAAACGCCTCAGTCAGAGTGATCTAATTTTTATACCCTTGTCAGGCTTTTCACAAAAAATAACTTAACAGATAAGAAAAGAATCCTATTCCAGCCCACACGGCCCCTTTTTTGTTTGGAAAACAGTCCCTGTGTCTATAAAAAGGAAAGGACGGCAAGTCAAATCCCTCCCGGTTCTGTCCACACCGGGTCCAGGCTGTGCCAGGGGCCAGGAGGCAGGAGAACCTTCCAGCAAAAACATTAGAATGGTTGGAACCCGGAGCTCAGTCTGGGTCTGGCAACTGGCTGGCCCTATGCCCTCCTAACTGAGCCATTTCCTCTTAGATTGAGGCGAGTTTCCTGCCCAGAGGGAACTGAGCTCACTCCCAGGCAGAGGGGGGTTGGGTGCTGAATTGGGGGAGGGGGACATCCACAGGCATGTCCCCACTTCAGCTACTCTGGGGCTGAGAGGCCCCTCCTGAGGGTAGGACAGAGCACGGTGTCAGAGCTGGGGCTCTAGCTGTCTGTTGGGTGGCCGCTCCTGGAAGGCTCAGCTGAAACCACCCTGTCCCACTGTGGGGCCAGCCTGCCCCTGGATCCCAGCTGTGCCCCAAGGTGGTGAGTGGAGAATCCTAGGCCAGACACTATGTGCTCCAAAGCAGTTGCCTTTGTGTGACCATGGTGGCCTTGGCTGAGAAGCAAGACCCATCGGAGCCTGGAATCCTCCAAGAACCTTCTCTAGGCCTCCCCTCCTCCCTGGTGCCTCCGCTGGGCCACCAACAACCTGACTCTCACAAACCCTTGGAAGCCCCCTGGCTGGGAGTCTCGTTTGCCCTGTGGGGACCCTCAATCCCCATGGAAGCAAGTTGCCCTGTGTGCTGGGTGTCTGGGCCAGGAGAACAAGACTGTGATGGAGCCTCAGACTATGCTGGACAAAAGGTAGCCAGAACCTCATTCCAGAACGTGCCAGGCACGGACCTGCCATATTTTTCATGCCCATCTCTGTTAGTTTCCCTGGCCCTGATTCTTCAACGAGAAGAGGGTAGCAGGGAGCATGCAAAGCACTTGAGCTCTGGGGTTGCGCCACCTGAATTCAAACCCTGACTTTGCGCCTAACTAGCTGTGTGCCCTTGAATAAGTTGCTTAACCTCTCTGAGCCTCGGTTCCTGAATCTGTAAAAGGGCATAATGGTACGTACCTCTTGGGGCTGATGTCAGAATGAAATGAGATCATAAAAACGCTTGGCCCAGTGGCCAGCACATGGTAGGTGCCCGAACCATGGCAGTTTCCTGACAGGGCAGAGAGGGGCGGCGGCTTACCCGAGGGCGCATAGCAGGTAAGCGGAGCTGGTACCCAGCTTTTTCTCATACACTCGATGGCCTCCTGGAGCTGGGCCCTGCAGGGAAAGCAGGCTGAGCCGGCTGAGATTGGAAGAATCCTCATGGTCTTAGACAAGTCAGGGGCGGGCGGGGCAGGGTTCCCAAGGGCACCAATAGAGGCCTTTTCAGCATCATCTTCCCTTCAGCTGTTTCTCAGCCGAGGATGGTACAAGACTGGGCACTATCCACCCAGGACTACAAGTGTCTATCCCGCCACACCCCGTCACCTCCTCAGTCACCTCGATATTAAACTCCTGCCACGTATTTCCAGAGCCTGCCCCACCCAGAGGGCCGTTTGGTCTCAGAAAAGCCTCTTTCCTCTCTGAGTATTCAGGATTCCACGCACAGGCTGAGAAAACCATCTTTATTGTTCGTGGAGAGGGCAAGGGAGGCCAGTATGGCAGGGGGCATTCTGAGGACACCTTTCTCCCCCATCTCCACCTCCCCGCCAAGGCAGGTCTGAGAGGGCTGTGTGTCCACTGCCCACCCTGAGAAAAAGAAGAATCACCCAAAGGGCTTCCAGGTGCCCCCACTTCTGAGGGCCAACCCTTCCCTCCATCATGGGGGGTCTCCAGTGCCCGCCTCAAGTTCTAGGTGGGGGCCAACCCTGCCACTCTGCCTCCAGGCAGCATGCTGGGTTAAAGGCCTCCAGGTGAGCCTCGGTCGGCCTGAGATAGACTCTGAGTCCTTGCCGAGACAGGTCAGGAGGGGGCCGTCCCCTGGGGCTGGGCAGGTGCCGAGGGCTGGGGCTGGCTCGGAGCTGACACTGAAAGCCTCTGGGATGGAAAGTCCTGAGGGGAAGAGGGGAGGAAATGATGGAGGATACTGCCCGATTCTCCATCCCTGGGGGTGCCTCAGACCTCCATTTATCTAAGACCTTGTCATCTGGGGCCTCCGGGGCACAGGTCAAAGGTTAACACCAGGTGGGAGAGAGGATTCCAGCTCCCTCTGTCCCTCATCCTAAGAGTTTGCCCCAGCTCTTCTTAAACGTGGGCCTGTCAAGGCTCCCAGGGCTGTCTGGAGCAGGGTTTCAGTGTCCAGGGGGACGCATGGGTTGGGGGCGCCCACCTGTATCTGGCAAAGGTCGAGCAGAGTGCGGACACCCATTAGGCACCAGAGCTCGCCCAGCAGGGAGATGAGGACGCCCAGGAGGTCCAGCCAGCGGCCCACGGTCAGCAGCAGCACGAAGAGGCCGCCCATGCGCACCAGCACCGTCTGGACCTGGCTCTGCAGGCCAGGGCTCAGCCGCTGTTCCTCTGTGGGGACAGGGTGCCCATCACCGCCTGCCCGCTGCTGCACCTGGGGCCCCAAACTCACATCCAGCTGGATGGAGGCCGGACCTCCCAGCTCCCTGACGCCCCTCCCCTGGGGCCAGGCTTCTCCCCTCGCAGCCCCTCTCCCTTCTCCCTCGCCCCACGCACACCCTCAGCAGCACTCCCACGGGGCAGCCACCACTTCTGCCTCCCAGGCCTCACTGCCCACCCGCAAGTGTCCCTCCCGCGGTCAGGACATAGCACGCCAGCCCTGAGCTGCGGCGGTCGGCCCGCCTCCCCTCGCCCGCACTCCCAAGTCTAATCCGTCAGTAAGTCCTGTCAACTCTTTCTGACAAGCAGATCCCCACCCGAGTGCACCTCGCCACGCCGCTGCCCCACCCCGTGCCAGACACCCCCATTTCTCACGGCCATCTCCTCACTAGGCTCCTGACTTCTGCTCTTGACCCTACAGCTCAAGTGTCTGCTCAGCACTTAGTGACCTTCTAAACACACCATCAAGATGAAATCATTCCTATGCTTGTGATCCTCCAGCATTTCCTGCTGCATTTGGAATAAACTGCAAACCCCTCATTTACCCTGCCTACAGAGTCCTGCCCGATGTGACCAGCGCCCGCTCACCAGCCCCATCTCATCCCTGACTTGTTCCCGTTGCTCATACCCCCAGCCGTCCCGGTTTCCTCGCTGTTTACTCAGCGTTCCAAGCCCATTCCCACCCCAGGGCCTTTGCACCTGCTGCTCTCGCTTCCTCGTCCTGCCACTTCCACCCCACCCCCACCCTGCTGCCAGGTGGCTCTCCCTGGAGTCCAGATCTGACCAGGTCACTCTCTCCTGCTTAAAACCCTGCCACAGGTTATCATCAGACTGCCCAGCCTGATTGGCGAGGGCTCCGCATCAGGCCCCTGCGACCCAGCCAGCTTCATCCCCTCCCTGTGCCCTCGGTGTGACAAATGCACTCAGCTTTTCTCAGTTGTTTGAGGCTGCCACGCTCTCTCGCGTCTGGGCTTTGGCATACGAGGCCCTCTGTCAGGGTCTCTTTTTCCCCTCACTTCTCAGGGGGCTCCTGCTTATCCTTCAAGGTCCACTTCTAGCACTATCTCCTCAGGGCTCCCACTGCACGCTGCACCTTCTCTGGGCTGTTCCACCGTGTGGCCTCTGCCACCAGGCTTGGCACTCTGGCATGGCAGGGGCAGGGCTGACTTGTCGGCCTCCTGGGGGTCTAGCACAGTGCTGGGCCTAGGTCAGGCAGTAGGATGTGAATGCCCAGCGAATGCCCGGGCCCCTGCCTGCGGTCCTTACCCTGCATGTAGATGACCAGCAGGGTGTAGCAGATGGTGAGCGGTGTCCAGAAGCGCACAGCCTCTGAGGTGGTCAGGAAGTCCCGATTGATAAGGGCCACGGCCGCCAGGTTGCCCACAGCGAAGGCCATGGCCAGGGCGCGGCCCAGCAGCTTGGGGAGGCCACGTGCGCCGGCCAGCAGGCCCAGGCAGACCCCACAGTAGTCCTGGCTGCTATGCAGCTCGTACAGGTGGCAGACGTGGCGGCAGAGGCGCCGGGCGACCCTGCTGAGCAGTGCGGCCAGCCCGAGGCCCAGCAGCAGATTCAGCGTGCGGTGAGGGGCGTCCTCCTGCAGGAAGCTCAGGCCACAGGTCAGCCCGCAGCCCAGGGAGAACTGGCACAGCAGGTACAGCTGCAGCCTCTCAGTGCCCCGGGCGCCCTGGCCGAAGAGGGACCGTGTCGGTGGGGCTCAGGCCTTCCCTCACCACTGGGGCCCCAAGAGGGCTGCCAAGGTACAGACGCTCTAGTCTGTAGGAGGCTGGAGCCCGAAGGAACCCTGAGAATTGTTCCCGAAGAGGGAGTGCTGCCTGCAGGTCAAGCCCTGATGGGGTCATTTCTTCTGGCTTAATTTCAAGCATGGTTACGATTTGGGACTCATCTGCTTGCTGCAGGGTGGCGGCTCCGATCGAAGACCCGGGTTCAGAGCCTGACTCTGCTTCTTGTGGGTCGCTGACAACAAAGCACTAACTCTCTCTGAGCCTTGGTTTCCTCACCTGTGCCATGGGGATCACACAAACCTTCACCCGCATGGTCGTGAGGGGAAGTGGGATGACGCACTCAAAATATCCCGAGCGTGGGAAGCTCCTGATACCCAGGGGCTGCCGCCGGCATCTTCACGGCCTCGGGCCGTGTCCACTCCGAGTGGAGACTTTGCCTGGGCGGTCACGACCTGCTCTCTAGTCTCAATCTTTCAGAAGGGGGGTGGTGCGGAGATGGGGTGCTCCAAGGGGGCCCAGTTTCCTGTGTTCCGGGGCGAACACCAGGGCCCAGGCCTGGCTCACCTTGCCCAGGGAGAGCAGCGTGGAGACGGCCCGGAGGGAGAACTCCAGCACCACCAGGGCGGCCACCCGGGTCCCCACGGCCGTCAGGATCAGGGCTAGGCCTGCCAGGTGCGCGGTCTCCAGCAAGGCCCACCGGGCCCGAAGCCGCTCCTTCTCCAGCCGCCGCTCGGGGTTGCTGTGGGGGCAGAGGGCATAGGCAGAGGGCATAGGCAGAGGGGGGCACCCAGAATCCTGGGCCCTGGACGGGGTCCAGGCGCCCCTGGGCCACTGTCCTTGGCCGGCAGGGGGTCTCTTGCTCCCAGTCTCCCAAAGAGACCAGAGTCACGGCTCAGAGCCCAGGGACCCAAAGGGGCTGGGAGTGGCCAGGGAGGTGAGCACTCACTTGGCACAGCTCACGAAGAAGTAAACCTTCAGGAGGCTGTTGAGGACGGAGACTCCGAAGGCCCCGATGAGGCCTGAGGGGCGGGAGGGAGGGAAGTGTGCTGGATAGGGTTGGAGGAGGGGCAGCCTAGGTGGTGGGAGAACCACGTGGGCAGGGTCCACCCTGCACTGCCTGGAACAGGTGCTGGGAGAGGGTGGGGAGGAGGCGCTCACCTTGAAGGAGGGAGTCGAGGAGGCTGGAGCCCCACTCGAGGGAGGAGAGGCCAGGGAGCCAGGAGGGGAGGGACGGCAGGGAGAACATGGCTGCCGGGATCCAGCCCCAGCAGCGGCTAGGGCTGGGCTCCGGAGAGGCTGACGTCATGGGGCAAAGGTGTGAGGGGGAAAGGAGGGGCCAAAAGCCCAGGGCAGGGAGGGGAAGGAGGGGAGGAGAGCCAAGGGCCTTAAACTTGCTGACTTTAGGATTAAGGGGCGTTGGGACCAACTGCTGCCCAGGTGTTCCTGTGGGGTGAAGGGGCATCTCTGGGACTGTCTCTGTCTCTGTCCCTGTTCAAATCTGGTGCCCGCTCTTCTTACTTTCCCTTAGGGCTTGCCACTCAGCGCCTTTGTGAAGTCCTGGGCCTTGTCTGTCATCCCCTAGCCTTAGGTCTGGGCTCCGCCCTCTCAGCCCAAGGTCTGGAAGGGGATGCCTATCCTCCCCCCCACTGCTCTGGGATCCAGCTCTGGGCCCTCTCGGTCTCAGCCTCAGGAGGATACCGTGACCGTCCTCCCGTGTCCGCTAGGTGGCAGGCCTCCCCTGGGCCGCACGGGGTGGGGCTGGCCTACCAAATTCTTTTAGATCCTCCTCCTTTCCCAGACTAAGTAGAGAGCTGAAGGGCAGGGGTTCAGGGGTGGGGGAGACCGAGGCTGCCAGCAAAGGGGAGTCTTTGGAGTAAACAAAATAGAAAATTTTATTAGTTTGGAGTGTGTGGTTGGAGCACTCCTGGGGAGCAGCCTTCCAAGACGTGGGGTGTGGCAGGAAAGGCAGCTCAGGTTGCTCGACCTGGGCCAGTCCTGTCCCTTCCAGGGACTCAGGTGTCCACCTCCGTAGAACAAAGCTCTGTGCAGTCCTCGGACACACCTGTGCGAGGAGTGTGGCTGCACCTTGGAGAAAGGGCCAGGACAAGGACATCTAGCTCTGCTGCTCCTTGGGGGAGTCGCCTCCCTGCCCTGGGCCTCAGTATTCTCAGCTGAACCGTCAGGGCATCCAGGAGGGCCTCAGGAGGAGCCCTTACCTTAATCGATGGGCTGAATCATGTCTCTCCTCCACATCCATATGCTGAAGCCCTGACCCCCAGGGCCTCAGAATGCGACTGTATTTGGAGATGGCGGTCCGGTCCTAGGTAATGAAATTAATGTGAG